GCCATTAGCTTTCCTGGCTTATTTGCCTGCGCATAAAATTTAGCCTTCATATACTTTAAATTTTTCGCTATGTATTCCAGTTGGTTAGAATCTCTTTGTTTCCTCAACATTTCTAACTCTAATTTAATTTTTTTTTTACCTGGCTTCTTTTTCAGTTGGTTCTCTTTTTCCTCAATGTTCTTTAACAGGGTGGATAGTTCCTCTCTTCTTTTTCTATTACGAATTATTCCTTGTTGAATTAGATGGCCTCTAATAACCGCCTTACCGGCGTCCCACACAACTTCTTCTTTTACCCCCTTGTTAGCGTTAAGCTCAAAAAATTCCTTAATTCGGTTTCTACATAAGACAACATCTTCTTCTCTTTTTAACAGAAATTTTTAACACTTTCTCCAGACCCTTGGGAACTGACAGGAGATTCCAAAACAGCGTCCCCTGGGCCCTCTGAATCTCTCCCAGCACCCCTTTCCTCCTCATCTGAACCCTCAGAATCTGAGCAGGATACAACACCCAGCTTGACAACTGAGAGGTGTCATCTGTTGAAGAAGAATAGACGGGGAAGAAAAGGAAGGGGAAATGGGATCTGATGTCAAATTCACTGGTATGGAAATCTGCACGAGGGATGACATGGGACCAGTGGAAAAATAAATAAAAGACAACACTAGTAAGAGTTTATTGGAGGGAACACTAAAGAAACACTAGCCATCTCCAAGGTGGAAACTTGTTTTGATGGGGGGGGGGGTTCACCTTTGCCTCTATTACCCTTCCCTCATCCAGTGAGCAGTTGGGCTTTCTTTCCTGGAGGATGGACAGCCTCGATCTACAACCTCTTTGTTTCAGGAGATATTGGAAATGTGGATATCTGCAAAGCAGGCCTGGCTTGGCCACGGTGGCCCACGCTCTTGTTACATCCCGAATAGACTACTGCAATGCACTCTGCGTGGGGTTGCCTCTGAAGACTGCCCAGAAGCTCCAACTAGTCAATTCGGCAGCCAGGCTGCTCACTGGGGCCAGGTATAGGGAGCACACAACGTCCTTGTTACGCCAGCTCCACTGGCTGCCTATCAACTTCCGAGCACAATTCAAAGTGCTGGCTTTCGCCTATAAAGCCCTTAACGGTTCTGGCCCGGTTTACTTGTCTGAACGTATCTCCCACTACGATCCACCTAAGGCCCTAAGATCATCTGAGGAGACCCTGTTCATTGTCCCCCCCATTGACACAATCATGTCTGGTGGAGACAAGGGACAGGGCCTTTTCTGTGGTGGCCCCCCGGCTATGGAACTCTCTCCTGAGCAAAATTAGATCTGCTGCATCCCTCTTGACCTTCCGGAAACAAGTAGTAATAATAATAATATTATAATAAACCTTTATTTATACCCCGCTAACATCTCCCGAAGGACTCGGTGCGGCTTACAAGAGGCCGAGGCCCAACACATCAATAAAACAACAGCATAACAAATACAACAATAAATAAACTCATAAAACAAGCAATACACATTAAAACAATAGCAATATTAGACAATATGACACATTTAAAACTAAGGCCGGGCCAAATGTAATGATTAAAATTTTTAAAAATGCTGGGCATGACAGGTGAAATGGAGAGGTTTTTGGAGATAGGTGCGGTGTGCACACAATCTTAAATCTCTAGTAAAGTGCATTTGGGACATGATGCTAGGAGTTTCCTATTCTGGGAAGGCACACTGGAACAGCCACGTCTTCAAGCTCTTCCTAAAGACTGCCAATGTTGAGGCTTGTCTGATGTCCTTGGGGAGGGCGTTCCAGAGTTGGGGGGCTACCACGGAGAAGGCCCTGTCCCTTGTCCCCACCAATTGCGCTTGTGACGCAGGTGGGATCGTGAGCAGGGCCTCTCCAGATGATCAGAGAGATCGTGTGGGTTCGTACACGGAGATGTGGTCACACAGGTAGGTGGGTCCCAAACCGTTCAGGGCTTTGTAGGTAAGTACCTGCACCTTGAATTGGGACTGGAAGATGAACGGCAGCCAACGGAGCTCCTTAAACAGGAGGGTTGACCTCTCCCTGTAAGGAGCACCAGTTAACCACCTGGCCGCCGCCTGTTGGACCAGTTGGAATTTCCGGGCCGTTTTCAAGGGCAGCCCCACGTAGAGTGCATCACGGTAGTCCAATCTGGAGGTGACTAAGGCATGGACCACCCCGGCCAGATCAGCCTTTGCGAGGTATGGTCGCAGTGGGCGCACGAGTCTCAGTTGTGCAAAGGCCCTCCTGGACACCTGAGCCTCAACGTGAGCAATGAATCCAAGAGGACTCCCAAACTGTGGACCTGTGGCTTCAGGGGGAGTGTAACCCCGTCCAACACAGGTAGCCACCCTATACCCCGATCCGGTTTACGATCAACTAGGAGGACCTCTGTCTTGTCGGGATTGATCTTCAGCTTGTTCCTCCTCATCCAGACAGACACAGTGGCCAGGCACTCGTCCAGCACTTGAGGGGCTTCCTTGGAGTTGGGTGGAAATGAGTAGTAGAGTTGTGTGTCATCTGCGTAGAGGTGGCACCCAGCTCCAAAACTCCGGATGACCTCTCCCAGCGGTTTCATGTAGATGTTAAAAAGCATGGGAGACAGAATGGAGCCTTGCGGGACCCCACAGGTCAAAGGCCAGGGGTCCGAGCAGGCATCTCCCAGCTTCACCATCTGGGATCGACCCTCCAGGAAGGACCGGAGCCACGACAGAAGTAAAATCCTGGTTATGGGATCAGGCATTTGGAGAGTAGGCTGACCTACCGACGACGTGTTGACTTAAATAGAACTGATGGACTGCCCCTTGGATGATGATTTAAATCGGCGACCACTGACTGTTTGTTGCCTGTTTTTATACTGTTTTTATATTGTTTATATGGTATTATACTGTTTATACTGGTTCAGGAAGTCACGAAGAGTTGGAAACGACTGAACAAATGAACAACAACAACTGCTTATATTGCTGTTTTATTCTATTGTGGTTAAATTGTAGATTCCTGTTTGGATGTGGGTGCCATGGGGTGCTGGTTTGTCAGCCGCCCTGAGTCCCTCTGCGGAGGTCGAGAGAGGACGGGAGAGAAAAGCCCCATCGGCGACCACTGACTGTTTGTTGTCTGTTTTTATATTGTTTATATGGTATTATACTGTTTATCATCCACATCATGAGGAGACAGGAAAGCCTAGAGAAGACAATTATGCTGGGGAAAGTGGAAGGCAAAAGGAAGAGGGGCCGACCAAGGGCAAGATGGATGGATGGCATCCTTGAAGTGACTGGACTGACCTTGAGGGAGCTGGGGGTGGTGACGGCCGACAGGGAGCTCTGGCGTGGGCTGGTCCATGAGGTCACGAAGAGTCGGAGACGACTGAACAAATGAACAACAACAACATACTGTTTATACTGGTTCAGGAAGTCACAAAGAGTTGGAAACGACTGAACGAATGAACAACTGCTTCTATTGCTGTTTTATTCTATTGTTGTGAAATTGTATATTCATGTTTGGATGTGGGTGCCATGGGGTGCCGGTTTGTCAGCCGCCCTGAATCCCTCTGCGGAGGTTGAGAAAGGATGGGAGAGAAAAGCCCCCAATAAATAAATACATAAATAAATAAATTCTCATTTGGGGGGATGGAAGGGGAGCCTTTTGACCTTTGAAGGCGATACAAAACTGGGAGGGATTGGGAGCGAAGGCTGGGAGAGGTTGCTGAACTGGGAAGCCGGGCTGGAATGAATGGAGCGCAGCCAAACAGTGTGCCTTGAGGCCACAAGAACCGGAGGTAATAGAAGGGCAGGGCGGGCATAACGGACAACCCCCCCCCCCCGGTCTAGATCCATCGCTATATTGCTGGCCTTCTCCCCCCCCCCCTCCCCTCATTCCCCCAATAAACACAACCTTCTGTGTATCTGTTGGGACTGTTTACAAGAACCGGATGTAATAGAAGGGCAGGGCGGGTATAACGGACTCCCCCCCCCCCCTCTAGATCCATCACGATCTTGCTAGCCTGCCCCCCCCCATTCCCCCCCAATAAACACCACCTTATTATATGTCATTGTTGGGACTGTTCTCCCTCCGCCTGGGGTCACTGGGAGGCTGCCTTGCTCAGTTTTCCCGAGAGAAAGGGGTCGGGAAGCGACGGGAGGGACCGGGCCTCTCCGCAGGAGGGGGGGGGGGTCGCGCAGGGGGCGTGGCTTTCCACCCTGGCCCCTCCCTCCCTCCTCCTCCTCCCCTCCGCCCCCTGCGCGCCTTACGTAACCGCGGGGAAGAGGGGGGGCGCTATCCTCGGAAAGGGCAGCGTGGGCGGGGCCAGGCGAGCAACCCCCTCCCTCCTTTCCTCCCTCCCTCCCTCCCTCCCTCCTTCCTTCTTCCTTGGGGGCGGGGGTCCGAGCTGCTGCTACTGCTGCTGCTGCCGCTGTTCTTGCCGCCCTTCCTTCCCTTTCCATCTTGATTGCCTGATTGCCTGTTTGCCTGCGTTTCTGTCTGTCTGTCTTTCTTTCTTTCCGGGGGCGGCTCTTTGCGGCCGGCGGGAGTGACGCGGGGTGAGGAGGGGGGAGTGAAGGAGGAGGAGGAGGGGAGGGGGCTTCTGCTGCTGATTGCGCGACGCTGCTGCTGCTGCTGCCCCTGCTTCTTCTTCGTCTTCGTCCAGGAGAGGGGGAGGAAGAGGGGGAGGGGGAGGGGGAGGGGGCGGGCGTCAAAGGCGAAGGGACGGAGTGGGGCGGGGGCGGCCATGCTGCCCGGCGGCGCGGGGGGGCCCTGAGCGCGCGCCCGGCCTTCCCCCCCGCCATCCCGCGCTGGTTCTCCACCTCCTCCCCCCGCCCGGCGGGCGCCATGAACTTCTCCTCCTCCTCGGGGGGCGGCGGGGGGGGCGGGGGGCTCTGCGCCTCCTCCTCCTCCTCCTCCTCCCCGCAGGGGGGCCTCTCGGCGCCGGGGGGGCCCGTCTCCTCCTGCTCGGCCTCCTCCTCCTCCCCCGGCGGGGGTGGGGGGCGGGGGCGGGGGGGGGGGCGGGGGGTGCCCCTCCCGGCCCCCGCGCCGCCCCCCGGCCAGGGCCCGTCCTCGTCGTCGTCCTCGGCGCCCCCGCCGCCCTTCGGCCTCTCCAACTCGGCCGCCATCCGGGCCGAGATCGGCCGCTTCGAGTCCGTCCACCCCAACATCTACGCCATCTACGACCTGGTCGAGCGCGTCGAGGACCTCGCCCTCCAGGCCCAGATCCGCGAGCACGTCATCGCCATCGAGGGTCAGTCTCACAACACCCGGGGGGGGGCATTGGGGGCATTGGGAGGGTGCCGCAGAACAAAATGGAGCGCCTTCCTCTCAAGGGGGGGGGGGGCTCAGTCCCCGCGCCGCAGCATCAGCCCCTCCCTCCACTGAAAAGAGCGCCCGGGGGGGGGGGAGGCACGTGTTTGACGGGGGGAGAGTCTGATCCAAATGCATGCTGGGGAAAGGGGGCTGCGGTGCGACCCCCAGCATCCCCCTTCCCTTCCTTCCCTCCCTTCCTCAGCATTAATGGCTCCAGGAGGAAGGAAGGCAGTCCAGGCCTTGCCCCCCCCCCCCCCTCGTTCTGCTGCCTTGAGAAAGGGGGGGGCATGGCTGCCAATGCGGGGCCGGGGAGGGGGCTCCAGTCTCCCTTGGCTTCCTTGGCTTCTTTCCTCCCTTCCCCAGCATTAATGGCTCCAGGGGGGAGGAAGGCAGTCCAAGCCTTGCCCCCCCCCTCCCTACTGTCTTGAGAAAGGGGGGGCAGGGCTGCCAACGCGGGGCCAAGGAGGAAGTGGGGAGGGGGCGCACTCTCCCTCCGCTGCAGAGTCGGGTCACAGTCGGAAAGCGGGGAGGGGGCTTGCCTTCTTGCGCCTCTCTTGGCTGGACAATGCACCCTAGCCCCCCTCTGCCCGTCTCGTCCCCCCCCCCAAATGCTCTCTCTGCAGCCCCCTCCCCATCCCTGGCCTCCCTCTCAGGGCCGAGCCTGCACCCCCAAAAGGCGGATCTGTCCAGGCCTGAAAAGGAGAAGGATTGCAAGGCGGGGGGGGGGTCTCCTGGGGGGGGGGAGGAAGCGGGGTCCACTTCAGGCCTGGCTGCAAACAAAGGGCCGGAGAGGCTCCTGAGGGCCAGAGGGATGTTGGGGTTCGCCTCATGTCCAGCTGTGTGGGAAGACAAGGATGCCAACAAGGCCACCCTTAGATATCTATCTATCTATCTATCTATCTATCTATCTATCTATCTATCTATCTATCTATCTATCTATCTATCTATCTATCTATCTATCTATCTATCTATCTATCTATCTATCCACACATACAGATAGATAGATAGATAGATAGATAGATAGATAGATAGATAGATAGATAGATAGATAGATAGATAGAGGTTGCCTTGCTGGCATCCTTGTTCTTTCCACACCGCTGGACACAGGGCGAACCCCAACATGTTGCCCGTATGTATTTGTATTTGTATATATATGTATATGTATGTGTGTCTCAAAAGAGATAGATAAATCTGTCTCAACATAAAGCCAAAATGGTCCTTTGCAGACCACCTTTCCACCCCCACCCCCCCTCTCCAAGGATGCAAGGCCAAGCAATGGGGGTGGGGGAGGTGGGCAGCCTGGGGGTCAAGGGGTCTTTCTGCCACTGAGGCCGGAGGGGCTTCCGGGGGGGGGGGGAAGGCCACGCCTGTTGTTGCTGCTGTTCTGCATTTATTGGGGGGGGGGTCTGCTCCTCATTCTTGGATGTGCAAGGGGGGGGCAATGGCAGTGCCTTTGACCTTCATGGCTGCTTGCGGGGGGGCTCTTTATGGAGGGTCCTGGGGAGGGGCAAGGGGTGCATTCGGGTCCTCTGTGTGTGAATGGGGTGGGGGTAGGGGGTCTGCCTCGTGTGCTGCCCCCTCCCCGCGCATCCAAACAGTGCCAAGGGTGCCAAGGAGAACAGGCCTCTCTCTGGGCGTTTGCCCCTTGCGGTGGGCTCCTTGCCCAGCTAGTCCCTCAGTCCTGGGGAGGGGGCACCTTCCTTCCTTCCCTGCCAGGCTGGGGGTCGAGGTAGGGCCCTCCTTTTGGCCAAAGCCCCACTCTTGATTTCCCAGGAGCCCCCGCTTCCTGCTTCCTCCGAATTTGGGGGTCCTCTGGCTTCTGCCTGCTGGTTTCCAGGCAACAGAGAGAGGCTGCCAGGCTGCATTTCCAAGGCTTTCCTTTCAAAACAGGAAGACGAAGGGAGGGGGGGCTGTGAGGAGGGCCGCCTTCTTTCTCCCCTCCCTTCCTCCCTTCCTTCCTTCCTTCCTTCCTTCCTTCCTTCCTTCCTTCCTTCCTTCCTTCCTTCCTTCCTTGGGGGCGGCCTTGGGGCGGTCCTTGGAGGCCAGGGGTCAGCCCTGATGGCGCACAAGGCCTTTCCTGCCCAGCTGCTGCTAATCCATCCAAGATGGCTGATTGCAAGGGGGGGTCAGGGAGGGAGGGCCCCCTCCCTCCCTCCCTTTCTCCCCCCTCCCTCCTCTGCAGGCCTGGCCTTGGGTCACTCATTAAGGGGAGGGGGATTCCATCCATAGCCCAAGTCAGCTCCCCTTTCAGGCTGTGGAGAGGTGCATGGGGCCAGGTAGGGGGCAAGGCCTTGACCTTTGGCTGGGAGGGGGTCCAAAGCCCGTAGGCCCCACAATGGACGCTACACCCTTGCCAGAAGGCCCCCTCCCTCAGGACTGCAGCATTGGGCCACTTCTGGACACTCCACATTGGCTGGCCTGTGACCCTTGAATGGCCAGGTGGAGTGGGCAGCCACAGGGCTATTCTCCGTCCGCTGAAGCCCCCTCCCCTTGCACAATCTCCTCTCCTTCCAATGGGCTCCCCAAAAGGTTCAGGCAACTGAGGAATGGGAAATGGGGGGGGGGGGCAGGCCTGGAAAAGAGGCAGAGCAAACAAGGGGGTGGAGTCTTGGGTTGCAGATGGACGCAGGCCACTTGTGCAGCCTGAAAGGGGGGTGCAAAAGGCGTGTGTTTACATCAGACGTGGGCAAACCCAGGCCCTCCCTCCAGGTGTTTTGGACTCCAAATCCCACCATAAGTAGCTGAGGGGGAAAAGGAAGGGGAAGGGGCTATTAGAAATAGTGGGAGATGGAGCCCAAAACACCTGGAGGGTGGGTCCAAGTTGGCCCATGCCTGATGTAAACACAGCTTTTGCACCCAAAACACGCCTTTTGCAGCAGCTTTCTCTCTCCCACAAGGCCACTTCCTTCCCCTGAGCCAGGCCTGTAGCCAGGATTTTGATTCGGGGGGGGGGGGGCTGAGGGGGCGGGGGGGGGGGGCTGAGTCTGAGTGAAAGAGGGTCTAGCCTAGCAAACCTTTTGTATCATTACCCCAATACCCCCATGCATATGGGATATATTGAGAATGGTGATCAGATCATGATATGAATAAACATAACAGTTTAAATAATGCACCAGTAAGGCCTTCTCACGACCACCATGAGAATTTCGGGGGGGGGGGCTGAAGCCCCTGAAGCCCCCCTTCCTCCCCAATGCCTTCCCTGAGCAGACTCACAAGTGGAGTGGAATGGGCAGATCTAAAGACAACCTGGCAAAATGGCACTGCCTAAAAGACTCCTCCGCCTTGTGTGACTATGGGGCAGAACAGACAACTCTGCACGTGTATGCTTGTCCACTATGCCCTGCCTCATGTTCAGAGGAAGGATTGTTGGATTGCTGGAAGGCCCCCTCCCTCAGGACTGCAGTGCTGTTGCTGTTGCCTATTTTTGGTCAAAAGACCTTTAGCCACTTTTGCTCCTTCTATTTTTATCAGTTTTATACCAATTTATGTTGCTAGGATGCAGTGGCTTCAAACTACAGGAAAGGAGATTCCACCTGAATATTAGGAAGAAGTTCCTGACTGTGAGAGCTGTTCATCAGTGGAACTCTCTGCTCTGTAGTGTGGTGGAGGCTCCTCCTGTGTAGGCTTTGAAGCAGAGGCTGGATGGCCATCTGTCAGGGGTGCTTTGAAGGTGATTTTCCTGTTTCTTGGCAGAATGGGGTTAGACTGGATGGCCCATGAGGTCTCTTCCAACTCTATGATTCTATGAAATTCCAGCCAATTTACCAGCTGATCGGATTTCTGGGACTTGAAGGCCAAAACATTTGGAGATACACAGGCTGAGAACCACTGGTCTAGGTGAAGGCAATATGGAGTTGCAGAGACAAGGCTTGCAAGAATGATAGACACGCTTTCCCCAGAGAATTAGAGATAAGGAGTGGAAAAGCAGGTGTCTGAGAAATGATGTTATGGGAGGGATTCAGGCTTTTAAAAGTGGGCTCTGCTAGAACAATGCTGCATTCAGGTGAAGAACTCCCGGTTTATAGGGCCTATGTTCATGGAATTCATGTATTCAAGTTTCTAAGATGTTCTTGACTCTAGTTCTTGTGGGACATAGAGATAAGGAGTGGAAAAGCAGGTGTGTGAGAAATGATGTTATGGGAGGGATTCAGGCTTTTGAATGCGATTTTCCCGCTTCTGGGCAGAATGGATTTGGACTGGATGGCCCATGAGGTCTCTTCCAACTCTATGATTCTATGAAATTCCAGCCAATTTACGAGCTGATAGGATTTCTGGGAATTGAAGGCCAAAACATTTGGAGATACACAGGCTGAGAACCACTGGTCTAGGTCAAGGCAATATGGAGTTGCAGAGACAAGGCTTGCAACAACGATAGACACGCTTTCCCCAGAGAATTAGAGATAAGGAGTGGAAAAGCAGGTGTGTGAGAAATGATGTTATGGGAGGGATTCAGGCTTTTAAAAGTGGGCTCTGCTAGTACAATCCTTGTGAGAACAATGCTGCATTCAGGAGAAGAATTCTCGGTTTATAGGGCCTATGTTCATGGAATTCACGTATTCAAGTTTCTGAGATGTTCTTGACTCTAGTTCTTGTGGGGCATAGAGATAAGGAGTGGAAAAGCAGGTGTGTGGGAAATGATGTTATGGGAGGGATTCAGGCTTTTGAATGCGATTTTCCCACATTCTAGATAATGGGCCACCAGGTCTCTTCCATCTCAAGGATTCTATGCTTGTGCAATACTTTGGATGTGAAATGAATCACCAGGTCTCTTCTAACTCAAGGATTCGAGGATTCTATGCTTATGCAATGCTTTGGATATGAAATGAATAAGCTTCCTTTTCCTGGGATGGGGGTCTGACCCCAAAGGCTTCCGCTCCTGGAGTTGAGATATATGGAAGCCCAGCAGTGAACTGGCTGGGCTGCTGTGAGTTTTCGGGG